CTGTCAACAAGTCAAAGCCGAACATCAGAGTCCGATCGGCCTCCTGCAGCCACTGCTGATTCCGAGGTGGAAGTGGGAGGAAGTCACGATGGATTTTGTTACGGGATTACTGAGGTCGTCTGAACATCACGATGCTATCTGGGTCGTGGTCGACAGATTGACTAAGGTCGCGCATTTCTTACCCGTTTCGAAGAAAATGTCTCTGGACAAGTTGGCTGAGATATATACCGTGGGATCATCCGACTCCACGGAGTGCCCGTTACGATTGTATCAGACAGAGATCCCAGATTCGTCAGTCGATTCTGGCACTGTTTACATGAGGCGATGGGCACGAAGCTAGAGTTCAGTTCAGCCTACCATCCGGAGACGGGCGGTCAGTCAGAGAGGACTATTCAGACGCTTGAGGATATGCTTCGCGCTTTGGTTGTTGATAGGGGTGCTAAGTGGGAATCGTTGTTGCGGTACGCAGAGTTCGCGTATAACAACAGCTATCATTCTTCTATTCAGATGGCTCCTTACGAGGCACTTTATGGTTGCAAGTGTCGTTCCCCTCTCTATTGGGACTACGTTGGAGAGCGACGAGTACTCAGTCCTAAGATGATCGAGGAGACAGCGGAGCAGGTCGAGTTGATCCGGCAGAGACTCAGGACAGCTCAGAGTCGACAGAAATCTTCTGCCGATCATCATCGACGAGACATTCAGTTCGAGGTTGGCGAGTCAGCTTTTCTCAGAGTTCGTCCGATTCGCGGAGTGGTACGATTCAGAAAGAGAGGGAAGCTGCACCCTCGATTCATCGGTCCGTTCGAGGTTCTCGAGCGAGTAGGCGAGGTTGCGTATCGTTTAGCCCTACCTCCCGAGTTATCAGGCATTCATAATGTATTCCACGCATCTATGTTGCGTAAATACGTGTGCGACCCCGATCATGTAATTCCTCATACGGATATTCAGGTTCAGCCAGATCTATCGTACGAGGAGCAACCGGTAGTGGTACTAGACCGTCAGGTCCGTCAGCTCCGGAAGCGAGATAATCCCCTCGTACGTATTTAGTGGGATCGCCACGGAGCTACTTGGGAGGAGGAGTCCGATATTCGTGCTCGTTTCCCATATTTTCAGTTTTGATGTACATATTTTCCTATTTTATGTACATAGTTCATGTATCTCAGCTATGTTTTGAATTTCCGAGGACGGAAATTTTGTAAGGAGGGAGGATTGAAATATCCCAATATTTTGTCGGTATAAATCATGCTTTAGTTCCGATATAATAACGTTATTGATTATTATTTTCGGAATTAATTATTTTCAGTCGAGACTACCGAAATTGATTTCCGATGTACCGTTTACGTTCGGAATAATTTTGGTAATTAAGCATTATGTTTAATTAA